CGGGCGAGGCCAAGTGGCTGCCGGCCCCCCCGCCAACCGCCACAAACACCCCTCACCCCCGGGGCCGTGTCTCAGCCCCCCGCCCGCCCTGTACGTACGGCATGGCCGCTGGTGCGCCGCCCAAACCCCGCCGGCCGGAAACGCGTCCCGCGGCCGCAGCGCCCGGGCACCGGGGAAGGGGCGGGGGACTGAGACACCGCCTCAACTCAGCCCTGGCCGCCCCGCCCCCCCGGCTGGGCCGGACACTAGCGCTGCCTCCCCGGCTCCGTCGTGGCGGCCGGACGTTTCTCCTCCTTCGCGGCGGCGGGAGCCCAGGTCCGAGCTGCGCGGGGCGGCATCGCGGTGACCGCTGTTGGTGGGAGCGGCCTGGACGTGTCGGGCAGGCGGCCCGTGTGTTACCGATAGGGTGCTCGGTCCGTGATAAGCGATGATTTCTGGTTCCCTCCCTGGTGTAACTCCACAAGGTGCCAGTGACGGAGGCCTGGGGAGCAGGAGCCCAAGGAGTCCCGCAGGGGACCCGACCTGCCTGCCTACCTACCCAGCCTTGTGGCTGATTTATTTATTATCCCCGAGTAGATATGCAGAAGTCAACACTGGGTACAACCGTGTTTGAGGCCCTTAGACCGACAGGACCAGATGATTTAGTGCCCGTCTAAAAACCTTCATCGCTTTTGCTAAAGGAGGAAGCCCTCGGTCATGTTTACTGGCCATTTACGAGCACGAGCTGTTGAATCGTTTCAGTTATTAGGATAAGAAACCAGTTCCTCGATTTGCCGGGGCTCCGCTCTGTGCAGCGCTGTTGACATTTGTGGTCCCGAATCTCACACAAAGCTGATGCTCCGGCTTGCTTGTAAACTTGTGAGCTGTGCCTTGGGCTCAATGGGAACCGCTCACGCGAGTACAGCAAAGCGCGTGGCAGATGGGTGAATCCGATCTCTTCTGTTTTTGTTTTTTAAGTGTTTGAAGGGTTGAGTGTCACATGGAGAAAGTGGAGCCACTATCAGTGGGAAGCTGTAGTTTGAAAAACACAGTTGCTCTGGATCGGAGTTTTAGCACCGGAGAAAATATGGGTATTGGTTTAAAAGCAGTTGTGCTATTCTTCTTAAATAGTGGTTGCCCAAAAACGTATGTTTTCTCATTAGAATTTCTCTGTTGACACAGTGTGAACTGATTAATCACCTACCAAATTCTAGCTGCTAGATTTTGAGACTTGAGATTTTGAAGGATAAAGCAGGAATAAAAACTGCACAGTGACTTTACAGTATAATCCTACAACATGCTGTTATTTGTTTTAAAAATTCTTCTAATACAGCAAGTTTCTAGCAGCCAGAAGCTTGGAAAAAGCTATCCATACTTTAGAATACACTAACATTTTATATCTACGTTTAATTGCAGTATTTATCTTGTTCTCATTGTTCTCATGCTTATTTCTTTACCAACACAACTCAGCATTTTCTACACTTGTGTGTGTGACATCTTGTCTTAAACGAGTTCACTTTTTTCACTCTGACATTGCTTTATTCTTTTTTTGTAGACCAATAATCAGAATTGGGTGGTGGGTATCTTTCCTCATTGAGCTTCTTAAAATGTTGCTTTTAGGCCTGTGCAGTGTCACCGGGTCAGTAAGAGCCTATGACTATAAGGTCTCCCTTGGTATGAATCTTGGACCTTAGTCTGTGATTGAATTCTGATGAGCTCTAAACACTCCAGCCTTAATTCTGGGGTTTTTCCTTCTGGGACATTAGCATTGGGGTATGTATCTTTTTTAGAATAGCTGAGCAATTGTCTCACAGTGGATCTGTATATTAGTTGATTACAGGGGAAAAGCTGTCCATTTCTTTGTGTTTTAAGGAGTTATTTAAAGATTGGTGAAAAAGAATGTTTCACATATTGCCACTAGCAAGTTTTAAAATATCAGAGGCTACAAGTTGCTCCCATTTTTTTTACTGCTGTAAGGTGAGTTGAATTGGCAATAGTAACACTGTAAAATTGAGGAAAAAAAGTAGTTCAGACAAGCCCAGGAGGAGTGGCTCTCAACCTTCACAAGCCTGCTGACCCCCTTAGCTCCAGGATGATTCACATGAACTCCAGGACCAAAGTATTGCAGAACTGGAAATTGTGTAGTATAACAGCTTTATTGAGACCCTGTGTCCATTATCCAGGCTGTGAATGATACTTCCTCAATATGAAGCGGTTTTAGCACGGCGCTGTGCCCAAGATGATTACTGTATTTTCTCAAATATATCAGGCCCCAAAGTATACACCTAGTTTTTGAAAGGCAGAATAAAGATATTATTTTTCCAGAGTTATGGCTTCATAGAGTAGGGACATAACTAAAGTTGAATGCCTAGCTGCTGCTGGAGACTGGTCTCCATGGATGGATCTGTGATTTTGAAAGGAGAAAAAGAGACTGTGCAATAGACCAGGAGCTTGCAGCAAAATTGCCTTAAAAAAGGTTAGCATGATTAGCAGAACATCAAGACTATTAAAAGGAGAGAGGGTTGTTGGTTGTAGCTGTGGCAAGGTTATTTGTGATATCTTTTATTAGACCAACTAAATAGTTGGGAGAAAGTTATTTGCAAGTTTGGGGGCACAAACCCTTCAGGCATTGGGAGACTCTGCTGATGTTGTGTTCTCCAAGGTAGAAATGAAGTTGAAGTATAACAAGAAGTCTGTGAAAATGCAAATGAATGGAAGTTTGTAAGACAAAGGGTAGAGATGGGGGGTGGGGAGGGAAGGGATGGAAATGTGTGAAGGAATGTTAGTGGTCAGCTTGAGGCAGGTTACCTGGTGAATCAGATGTCAGGCAGGTTGTAATGTGTCATAAATCTAATGTCTATATTAAGTCCAGGATTTTTTGTATCCGGTAGATTTATGAAGTGAAGTTCATAGGCTCATCTATGAAAGGTGTTTTGTAAGTTGCCTTTGAGGGTTAGAACTGAGCGATCAGAGAGGGAGTCATTGTCTTGTGAGAAGTGGGCACCCACAGATATTTGGATTTTTTTGTCTTTGATGGATTTTTGGTGTGCGTTCATTCTGGTGCGCAGTTGTTCTTTGGTTTCTCCTTCATATTTTCCATCGGGGCATTTGGTGTACTGGATAAGATATATTACATTTCTGGAGGTGCATGTGTAAGATCCAGGAATGGTGATGGCTCTGTTGTGGGGTGTAGTGATTATGAGACTGGTGGAGATGTGTTTGCAGGTTTTACATCTCTTATGCTGGCATGGTCTGGGTCTGTTTGGTGTGGTTTGGGTCATAAGGTGTTTGCTTCTTGTGATGAGGTTAGTGAGGTTTGGTTCTTGTTTAAAAGCTAGGATGAGTGGTTCTGGAAAGATCTCTTTAAGAATTGTGTCTTCTTCTAGTAGAGATGATTATTAACACCTGTAGAGGAAAGAACAATGAGCCAGTAAGGCTATTGACTCCCACAGCTGCTACAATCTGGAGCAGGAATCTAATCAGAGTGCTCCCAACAGAGTCAGAACATCAGCTTCCCCACTTAATACATGCACCCCTATTTTGGGGAGCTGATTCTGGGAGAAAAGGTGCATGTTTGTATGCAGAGGCAGAGTAAGGTGTACTGGGGCCCTCGGCAAGCACAAATTTGGAGGCCTCCTCCCCACATGGGAGCTGGGCTACAGAGGTGGGGAGAGGGACACCTTCCCCTCCTAGTGCTGGTGGAGGAGGCTGGGTGGACCCCGCTGGAGTAGGGGGCACTTGCCCGCCTCTTCTCCCTGCTCCCCACCCTAGCGAAGGCTGATTGCATGCACCAGCACATGCACTCTACTCTCTTTCTCTGCATGTGGACACACACACATACACATACACACACCCTCCCTTCCCCTCCCCTCTTCCCCACTCAATCACATGGAGGCAACCCTTCCCCCAGCTGCAAGCTGCCTGTAGTTCAGTCTCACTCCTCATCCAGCCTGTTACACTGACCTGCAGGGACCTGCTGCAGGCTGGGCCAGGAGTGCCATGCCGTGTCTCTGTGGGTGGGCACTGGGAGGGGTTGCTGTGGGGGGCTAAGATGAATTTTGGGGGCTATGATATCCAAGGCCCTCCCAGCGCTGCTGCCCACAAAGGTGCAATGTGGCGCTCCTGGCCTGGCCCAACTGCTCCCCTCCCTTCCTGCCAGGTAGGGCACGGCTGTCCCAGCCTGGCTCAGCCCCGTCCCCTCCAGACGCAAAGCCACCCAGACCGCTCCCGGTTCCCCAGGCACAGCACGGCTCTCCTAGGCTGATCCCAGCACTGCCCCCTGCTCCACATTTCCAGCTCCCAGGGAAACAAATGTGAAAACTGCAGTTTTAAACTTGGCTCCAAAAATGGGGCACTGAGTTTAAAACTGCAGTTTTTGCATCCCTGCTGATGAGGATCCTGGGGCCAGGGCCCCAAATTGGTAGGGGCCTCTGGGCTCATGTCCAGCTGGCCTGTGCATTAATCTGCCTATGGTTATATGCAAGAAAATATTGTAGCTCTGTGCCTCAGGATGGCTGGCTGGGTAAAGCAGTGCAGCTTCTCAGAACAACGCCTGGCACCACGGGAATGTTTATAATAGGGGGAGACTGTTGCAGCAAGGGAAGTTTAGCTTAGATATTAGGAAAAACTTTCTTACCAGGAGGGTAGTAAAACACTGGGACAGGTTACCGAAAGAGGTTGTGGAATCTCTGTCCTTGGAGGTTTTTTAAGACCCCGCTAGACAGAGCCTTGGCTGAGATGATCTAGTTGGGGATGGTCCTGCCTTGAGCAGGGGGTTGGACTAGATGTGACCTCCTGAGGTCTCTTCCAACCCTAATTTTCTATGATGCTATGACTGGTTGATTCCTTCCTGGAACCCACCCACTTCAAAGCCACCACTCTAGAGCAATGGTGCTTGGTATTTTCAGACTCAGGGCACCCTGGAAAATACCAGCTTTCTGTTTTTGTTTCTTCACTACTGAAAAATAATAAAGCAATTCTTGTTTCAAAGATCGTTGAAAGACCACAACAGATCAGAATGTTTTTGACACTATTGATTTCTATTTGAAATTTCACGGTTTATATCGTGAATCATATGTAGGCCTTTGCACACCTAATATTGAGTGTCCCCCTGTGCCACCCTTAAAAGGATTTAATGGCATGCTATTGAAGAATTGCTGCCCTAGAGACTTAACTCTGATCTTGAATGTCAAAGCAAGCATTGAACCGTTTATTGTGTTTGAACTTGGTAAAGATGCATCATGGCCGACAGTTCAGGACACTAAATAATATTACCCTATTTTCTATTAATAAGGAGTAAATAATAATTAATAATGATTAGCATTTATTTATTTGTAATTCATGGATCTCAGAGCATTTTACAAAGATGGATGAATATCATTATTCCAAACATGGAAATGAAAACATGGGAAACATACACAAAAAGGTTAAATGCATCGGTGAGGAGGTCAGATCAGGAACATACTTAAACACTGTGAAAGCAAAGAACCAGACACTAAATATATTTGTGTTCTTCACAGAATGGCGAGCAGTACGGGAAGTAATGCATTCCTTTCCAGCCAGAAAGCTGCAGTCTCAGAAAGTCCTCGAGCAAAGAAATCCCAGTATTCTGAAGAAGAGACATTTTATGTGAACTGCAGAGCAGCTTATCTAACTGTTTTTAAAAGCAGCTTAGAAAACATTAAATCAAAGGAACAACTCTGTTTAGGTAATGGGTTGGAGTTTTTGTTTTTATTTCATGTAGTGTGTGAAGATTATAGAAGATTTGCCAAACAGGCAATATTTCACTGGTAGAAATAACCTGATGCATAATGGAAATAGCACAATAGATGTTTTAACAATTTGAGCAGTTTTGGGTGAGATTGAGGTCTTCAAGGATCAGTGGCTGAATATTTTATATACTTTTTTTTAAAGGTTTTTCTCTTAAAAAACCATGCAGTGGTTTTTTAGATACTTTACAGAAACAACTTTTCCTCCATATTTTTCTTTTCCCTCAAATCTTTAAACTATATTTGTAGGTATTGGATGGCACCTAGAACTAGGAACATTATATAGAGCCTCTCATCTCTAAATCACTAGTCTCAATGAGCAAAAGTCAATACCAGCTGACAACTACTGGGGGACCTGAGTGAGTTGTTTAACAACACCAAGTTTGATGGTGGCATTCTTGCTTTACTTGAAGAGGGCCTAGATACTTCTTTGAGATTGTGACATATTGCAATAAATTGTGTCTCTATCTCTGACAAGTGATAAAGTGAGTTGATCTCTGTTCAGTTTCTAGTGGACAAGTGTCCCCAGCACAGAAAATCACCATGGCAACTGGCATTAATTGGCACAGTGGTTTGCAGTCTCATCAGTGAAGCTGTAAAATGAGTCATGGTGATTAACCTACCTTTCCCTCCCTAGAGAGGGTCCCCCAGATCAGGGTTGAGACTCATTGTCCATGTGGTAGGTCAAAAGCTTTCCCTGTCCTTCAGCTGACACTGAAGAGCTTGCTTAATTTTTTGAAGTCTAAATGCACATGAAGTTAAAACATCAGTTTCTTGCAGTTCAAATTAGGATTTCTATTCTTCTTAGTATTATTCCATATGTGTGATTGGGTGATAGCCCTGTCAAGAGTTCAACAGAAAAAAATCCTCTGCGTATATTTAAAAAAAACTGTTGATGAGCGCAGTTATTCGTAGAAGATATAGACACTTGAATCATGATTATGATACTTAAAAATCTTGAAATAAAATGATGATGCTTAAAAATGTTTTGAAATAAAAATAAATGGAAATTTCACAGCTGCTGGGTGGATCTATGAAATGACCAATATACTCAAGATTTTTTGTATACACACAAAAAAAAGAATAGTTAATTTACTTACAGGATTTTAATTAGTTACTAATCCTGTTAAATAGTATGTGGAATAAGATGAACAGTTCCAGCAAGAAAAACACAAAGCAAATGCAGTGCCACTGATGCCCTCTTTTTTTTCAGATTGGTCACTGGTCTAGCAAATACTTGAAATTTTCTTCTTAAAACCCCAGTATCCCTTTATGAAAGGAATTTGACATGTTGTCTGCAATAGGAATTCAGGAAGTCCTTCCCAGTCTTACATTCCACCTGAAATCTTTCTATTAAATGAGAATCTTTTTGCTTTTTTAAAATGAAAGTCTCTAGTCATCTTGACTCAGA